AAATATCAATGGTGCAATGAATTTGCATCTTTCGTAGCCATTTCCTTATAAAACTGCTGAGTTCAAAGTGGACATCTACTTTTCTACTACCTACTAGCCATACTTCTACTCACCTTCTAGCCATATCTGCAAAGGATGTTTTAGTCTATATCCAGCCCTAAGTGAGATGAGACTTAACTTCTCTACCAGGAGTGCTTTCTGTTTCTAAGGGCTCTGATTTGACCAATATCTTCGACAGAAAAGACTCCACTGTCACCTAAGAAGAGGAGTCAGATCACCTTCGCTGTCTAAGCCCAGGAAATAGAGTCCTTGCAACAGAAAATGAGATGAGGCATCAGTAATGTTATTATACCAAGCACGTACTTAGCTCTAAAATAGATATTGTAAGTCAAACAGAGAGTTTCATCAGATTCATTACCAATCCTGTTTTGCTGATTGCTCTTTAACAATCTCTACCCACAGTTCTATTATCTCAATGAAACAGTACTCTCTTGTTTGCAAAGCAAGTTCTCTAAATAGTAATTGCTGTAAGAAGTACTGCAGTGAAAGCTGGATCTATAAAGCCATTAATTGAACTAGCTTTGGGGTACAACAAATGATGTCTTGGTCTGAACTTGCCAATGTGTTTCCCTGGGCTGGCCTAGAAGTAGGATATAAGCATCCGATAAGAAGAAAAGACATTATCTGAGTGGAAATGCTGTGTCCTCTCTACTCTGAAGTTCATGCCATTATTAGTTCTAATCACCTTCAAGATAAATCGTTTCCAGTACTGTCTTGAGAGATAAATCCCAAATATATCATCTGATGCTCTTTTTGACTCCATAATCCATAGAGAGTATGAGGCTCAGCTACCTGAGAGCAAGTCATCAAGAGTGCAAGAACCCTTGAGCTACATCTGCTCATTTTGACTTCTAGTAGTCCTGTAGCAATTTGCAGGGTGCATCAACATGTGACTTTCTTGGTCATGAGCCTGAGCAGCAGGTCCCGCTAAAACAACAGGTGAAAGAGGGTAAGTTCTTGATCTTGTTTTAACAAGACAGGCCTTTGTCACTAGCCATACCAATGCTGTCAAACTTGCTTTATCCAGTCATTTCTCTATTTTCCTCAACACGGGTATCCGTAACAAGAAAAAAGTGGCCATACCACCAGAGCCATCAGTATGGCTTTTGGAACTTTTGGTCCTAATGAAGGACTCCTTCTACAGCCTTCTGAAAGAAACTTAAGGGCCTTTAAATGGCTTGTAGGCATACTTTGTGGAGAATGGAAATGCTTCCCCTTATTTCTAAGGAAAAATATATTTATTGTGTCTGGATTCTAAGAGAATGATAATCCATCCAAAGTGGTCTTACCATACAGACACTCTATAGCACCGTGAGTCCTACCTAGGATTCCAGTAATGGTGGCTACTAATTTTAGGTGCTTTGGAATATTCCTGTGTAGGCAACTTACTAAATAGTAGTCAAGTATCCTTTAGGCGATGATTTCTGAATCAAATAGCCTTTTGTTGAGCTTTTATGAGGCTTGAACCCACTCAAAGCGGGAATTTTTTGTAGAAGACCTTGTCTCTGCTTCTACAAGCATTTATCTCCTCGGGAGCATTTTTAAATGATGAAAAATGCTTCTATTGCAGTTGAAGACATCCTGTTACTCGAATTAGAATATGCCTAGCAATTTTGAAGTGAAACCTGGTCACACCTTTGCAAACACTAATGCTCAATTGTATCATTGGTACATAAGGGTTTGGCAGCTGCCAGCAGTTTCCACACCAGTCAACTCCTTGCAGCAACAGCAAAATCTGCATAGTGTCCACAGAGACACCATTTCATCCTCCCCTTCTATTACAGCTCAGTCCCTGCCTCGCCGAGGGCTTTGAGTAATTAGAAAACATGAGTCTCAGAGCTATACGCACAACAGTGTGCTACAGCTCAGGGCCAGCCCACTCAAGCAGTGACAGTCACCAGCTTTAGAATAACCAGAATCCAGCCTTGCCATTTATCTGATATGTCTGATGAAGCTTTTTTTTTTTTCTCCCTGATCAATAGCTTATTGTATAACTACATCAAAGTCCATGTCTAACTGATATTTGGACCATTTCCTCAAATCAATAGAAATATCTGTATTTAATGATTTGAATACGAACAGAATCAAATCCTTGAAACTGAAAGCATCAAGTTTGTTCATCAGTGAGGAAGTCACTGTACTCAGTAAATAATAATTGGCTTCTCCTAAACAGTAATGTAAGAAGCAGAGTGGTTGTTGAGAAAACATTATGTATAACCATTATACTCGTCCTTTTTATGGAACTTATCATTGGATCTGAGTACGTTAGGATGGTTTATCTTAAATCCCTCTCATTTATATTCCATGTAGCTACAATTTGCCAGTTATAAAAGAGGGATAATGGAATTTCCGCATCTCACAGTACTGCATAACTCAGTATTTTTTACAGTCTTGAGATGCTCAAATATCATGGTGCTAAGGAAATAATAATTGTCTAAACTTCCTGAGTGGTCAGTGAGAATCGATAATGAGGCTCTTATTCAAATATGTGAGAATGTGATCTTTGTGTCAATGCTTAAATGAAATATCTGATTAAGAAAATAGGACATTTATAGATAAGTTAAAGTGCTCAGTTTTGTCACATGACATTATTCTTCATGTCAAAGACATTCATTTTTCTAGATAGCATTTTTATAATAATCGTTGCTGAAAAATCTGAATCCATTAGAAAAGTAAATTGGGTAATCTTCTTTTTCAACATGAATTACAGGGGTTTTGTCTCTACTGAAAATTTCCTCCTGGCAAAGCCAAAGACAGAATAGAGATTGTCACCCAGGAGTTTGTTAATTTTGCCTAATCTGCTTCAGAGAACCATTAATTTTTACTTCTTGCTCTGCCTTTGTAGATTTTTATACTTTTTTATACTTACTTTATAATATACTGTTATTTTGTCCTTTATATTCCAGAAGAATATACAAACTGTATTTAAACCTGATGGTTAATATAATCTACTTTCACCTGGTGAGAAAAGACATGACATCAAAGGAAATAATGAGACTCTAAATTTAGTTAATTAAATGAAAACTGTTTGTTAGTGGTATTTCTTTAGTATATCCTGGTATTTTGTGTATTTTTTCAAAAGTGTCTGTCTTGAAAACTATGTATTTTTGTGATGTTGAGGTGTTCTCTGTTTTGTGTTACAAGTTAAAAAAACCTGTCCATAATGTTCACTAGAAAGACATATATCTAAATCACTCAGTGCTGGCTTGGAACTGCAATTAGGAGACCCATAGACTCATCCTACGTATTATTTTAGTATTGCCGCATGATATGTATCAGTATATACTAGGTACTTTTAAAAAGCTTTGCAATGGTCTAGAATTTAGAAATTGTATCTACTTCCACTGAGAAAAGTCAGCTCATTGTATATTTCAAAGGAGTAAAATATTTGACCCTGAATAATAGATGCCATAAATAGCCTCTTTCCTGAAATAAATCCTTGCTGAGGAGGAACTGCAGTTGTACTCTCCAGTGGAGTGAACTACATGAATATTTCTTATATTATGGAATTTCAGCAAAGTTTGTTTTTCTGTTTGGCTCTCTTTAAGCCTGTTAAAAGCAAATTGCTGTATTTTTTCATGGAAGGTTGGTTAGACATATTATTTAGGATTATATATATGAAATACATTAATTTTATTGATTAAATCACAGCCTATTTGAAAACAGTTACAGTCGCTCAGAGTTATAACTTTTATCGGTGGTGGGCGTAATTCATTTGATAAACAGGTTTTTGATGTATCTTCACGGAGCTGGTTAGCTCAGTTGGTTTGAACGTGATGCTGGTAACACCAAGGTCACGGGTTCGATCCCCGCTTGGTCCCCATGTGTTGCCTGATCTAGTTGAGAGGCGTCCCTGCCCGTGACAGGGAGGTTGGATTAAATGGTCTCTAAGGTCCCTTCCAGCCTAGGCCATTCTATGATTCTATGATCAGCATCCTCGTGTCTCTTCTTCTCTACTTATGTGGAGAACAACTTGGCAGATATTTGGAGTGGAAATACTTTTTGATTTTATTGATTTTTTTTTATTTAGCCATCCTACTTCTTACAATTTGAGCCAGTTGACTTGAAATATTTTCACATGTGGCCAAACTATAAGGCTGCAAATTTCTTGCCAACTTTTCTTTCACTTTTTATGGTGGAGGCAGGGGCAAATCCTTTACACATATTCTAAATACCTGTGAAATATCTTGCAGCTAAAACCGGCAACTCCTCAAATGTCCTTGCTGAAGTAACTCCTCACTCCTTTTTCACATTATCTATTCTATGAAAACTATGAAAAAAAATAAAAATAATGAAGTAAGATATAGGCTGGAAAACACAACTGGTCTAAAATCAGGAGGGAGTGACTGAGAATGAGGAAGATACAAAAACTGACAAGTAGGTGATAAAGGAAGATGATAGCATGAGAGAGCCTTGACCTAGAGGAGAAGAAAAATAAATCAAGGAATGAAAAATGAATTCAAAGTAGTAATTACTGAAAATGGAAGTAAATACAAATCCTCTTTATCTCTTCAATAGAAGTATTACATTCCTTGTAACATACATTATTGATAGAATAAACTTTGAGATATTAAAGTTTGTTTTGTGTGAGTACTCAGGAGTTTATTGTACATCACATTTTTAGAAGGCAAGTACAAAGGCTATTTCAGCAGAGCCAATAAAAATACACTTCTTTTTAACTTAATTACTGTAATATTTTACTTTTTCCTCAGAAAAAGAAATATATCACAACTTCAATAAATCTTTCTTGTAAGCTACAATTTCTTAAAGAAATTAATTCTGGAAGAAATGAGGAATTCTCCAAATTTTATATCCATTTATATGGGTATCTTTATCAATAGGCTGGAGGCAGCTCTGGAAATTTTCAGTTTATGAAAAGAACAAAAAATAAATACAGCAACACTAATAAAATGTGTGTAATTCTTGTATCTTCTCCTCAGACTGGAATGGGACACCTGCGTGTTACAAAGGAAGGCCTTCGTCTGGAAGGGGAATCGGAATTCTTATTCCCTCTTTATGCCAAAGAAATCCATTCTCGAGTGGTAAGCAGAAAATCTTTCTGTAATGCTAAAATAAAATTAATGCACTTAAAAATTTGGATGCGTCTGTCATGGAACTCTATATATGTGTGTGTGTGTGTATACACACATACTTTTTTGCATACTTTACAAGCATGTTCATTAGGTCAGTGTGGTACTATGACAGAATTAATATTTATCTCCTAGGCATGGCATAAGTAGCTCAAAAAGGAATTATAAATATCATTGTATATAAATAATGCTGAAATTTTAAGAGTGTATAGAAAATTTTTCATTATCTCTACTGAGAGATAATTTTTTAATGCACGCTTCCCCATGAAACTGCTTGTCTTGTTTATTCAGCTATTACAGAATAGTTTCAATATCTCTAAAATTAGTGAATCCTATTGGAAAAATTACTATTTCTTTAATAAGTTCAGTTTTCGTCTTTTCTAGTACAATGATACTAAATGTATGATATTTTTTATATTTAGGCATATAAAATCTGCAAGACTAAATGGAAAGATTTAGCATTTAATCTTGTTTACATAGACAGAAAATTAGTTATTATTATTGAGGTTAAAAGAATAACATATTTGGTCAAAGAAAACATCAGACAGATTACCTTGAAGTACTGGGTTTAGAGGAAGAAAGAGAGAATTTGAACTGGCTTTTAATTATCCAGGTGAACTCTGAAACGTATTTCAGTAAATTTTTTGTGGAGTCATACCTGTTTCTGGACCAAAAAAAAATATTTTTCAGAATTATCATCCATAATCCAAACTCTCACAAAATAAAGTCAGGTGTTATGAACATTGTCATCAACCAGACGGACATTTAATTGAATAAATTGCTGTTCAATGAAAGTAAAAGCTGAATATGACTTCTTCCTTACTTCATGTAGTCATCCTTACCAAGTAGAAATAGCCAGCTATGAGACTTTTTGAGCGTAAGGAAAAAGTTAGTGTTTGTATTGCTATAGCAAGAGAAAAAGTAAATAAATTTATCAGAATGACATTGTTAAAATGCTTGATTACTGAAATTTAAGCTATGTCCACATATTTTACATCTTTCTCCAACAAGTACTTCCAGAAGCAGGAACAGCTCTTACTTAATGAATTTCCATTACTAAATCTATATTTTCATTCTGTTTCTTATCCTATATTCTTTTCTGCCTCATTGGCAATGGCAAAACTATTTATGTGCATAAATGAATTTCCCTTGAGGTTGTTTATGCAATAAGACATGCAACTTTTTACGGCCAGCTAATACTTAAAAACTTGCTCTGCCCCAAAAAATCATTATGCAATATTAAGTGACCATTTTTGCTTTTTATTCCTTCCAACTCGTATTACATTTAGTAAAATATAGGAAGAAAGAGGTGTGGCAGCATCAATACAACTTTAGCTGTCTAATGACCCATCGTGATCATTAGTAGCATGCATTAATTAAAGCCTTCAGGCTACTGCATGTCTCTGTCCCTTGTGAACTGATAATTCATCAGATGTTTTTTGTTTGTGTGTTTGCTTGCTTTTTAAAATATTTGAACTCTCTAGAGGCTTAATTGCCTGTAGCATGATCTCCTGAGTGCCGTCTATATATTTATTCTCATAAAGTTGCATATTTGTTACGATTTCTTTTTCTGTTTTTCTGTTAGAGGATTGGGCCACTCAGAGCTATTATAGCAGCTTTCTCCTTTGCCTTAATAGTTTCTGCTTGCAGTCTCGTAACAGCTTTTCTCGCCTAATGAGGTCTCCAAAGTGCTAAGAAAATAGGCAGCAGAAAATCTACTTGCTATTTATCATCTCTGCCTTCACAATGAGTCCAAACAGAGTTGTGGGCAATACTGTTGCATCTTACCTCATACATGTTCATGAAAAGAGAAAAGCTGAGCATTTATAAATTTTAATTAGTCATCAACACACGTATGGAAACTGCAGGTCTAGATTGCAATTTATTTGCACTTACATTTGATGTTACAAATTATTAACTTATTTTTTAAATCAACCAGCAGCAGTCCAATAAGTGTAATAAAGATTTGGGGGTTATTTAGCACATGTCTTAAATATATTTACCTCATCTTTGTTGATCTTCCTTTTCAACTTTATACTAACTTGTTACCATTAATGCTCATTCTAACACACTACTTTCTTTTTTCCTAAGACTTTCCATTATATGTGTTAATTCTGTTAGCTTTCACTTTTTCCTGATACAATGTGCAAAATGAGATCCTTTATTTTGCTCACTTAGTGACTTCTTTTGAAATAGATTGTTTTTTACTTGTTTTTTTAAAAAAGTGTAAGTCAGACTGCGAGCTGTGTATTGCTTCTGCCACTGTTATCAGTGTTTGTAGTAAAATTTCTCATGCAAAATGTGTTTAGAAATTCTCATTTTATCTCATACTCTAAATATTAAATTATGCCAGCAACATATGCCAGAGTTATTTTCAGAAGCTGGCTGTTCAAGGTGCTGCATGGTCTCTCTTGCATCCAGAAGAAGTACCAGAAGCCAAATGTGTGAAAGTGACTGATCTTTAGTAATATTCCAGTAGTCAGAATCTCAGTTTTCTAGGAATGAGTATCCCTTCTGAGGTCACAATCAGGAAACTTGCTAATACCCTCTTTACATCATGTATTCCCTGATATTTTTGCAGCTCAGGTTGAGTTCTGTGTCCCTTAGATAGGCAGTGTGCTTTGGTATGAAAGTAACTTTACTGCAAAAAACTCTCTCCTTTCTTTTAAATCTACTGCTGTGGTTACAATTTGCTGATCCAAATGAGCATTACCAGGCTTTTTGTCCTCATATAATTTTCTGATACTTAAAATCAAGTAAAGACAGTGGCCAGTATGATCTCCCTGCAAATCGTCTGTATTTAAAGACAGTTCCACTGGTAAATTAAAGAAAAACATAAGAACAACCCGCTCAATGCCCTCCTCACAAAATTTTAGGACACTTCCAAATGACTTCTGCCAGGTCTCTTGCCATGATTCGCTTTCATTACTGTCTGCATATCGAGTCTGATGGGGCACAGTGGGCAGCTAGGTCTTTCAAAACAGTTATTGATCTGCTTTTCAGTACGAGGAGAAGCTTGAGGAGGTTCCAATAGGCCTGAAGTAGAGACAGTTTGAGTGGAAGGTCTGGGAATAAGTAATAGAGATGGTGCATCACCTGGGAGGAGTTCAGCAAGCCATGAGTTAACACTCAGGGATGTTCTGGTAAAGTAATTCCACATGGATTGCAATCTAAGATTGACATGAAATTTTGAATCGCCTATCATAGCTAGTCTGGATGCTGGTGAGGTGTGGTAGGGGTGGATGAAGATACCAGTTACGCCTGCTTGGCATGACCTGGCTTCCAGAAGTAGCACAGAATGATGGCTAGGTACGAGGCTCTGATTGCTCTGCAGATGTCCTGGCTGTGATGCATCCTTTGAGGAGAGTTAAGTCGAACGTGTGACTTTGTGACTTTCAGATGTGATACTTGTATACCAGGACGGATGTGGAACAGCACAGGGTGTATTAGGTTCAAATCGTGATGCAGAGATGCGGTCAAGCATGTGATGCTGCTCAGACTGCTGATAAGCTTCTGTCATCCTTCTGGGTGGTGGACAGGGAGACAATTTAATTTAGACTGACACTTTTATCTCTGTTGTCACCTATTAAAGTCAGCTTTGAGCTAGTAACCCTAGCACTTTCTTCATCACCGCTGCCTGAGTTTCTTTGCCAGGAGAGTCAGTGCGAGGTGCCGAAATCAAGCCAAAGCACATAAACTGCGTGGACCACTAAGGAAGCAGAGGGCACATGCATATTTCTTACCAAGCTAGTATGACAGAATGAATTCACAAAGTGGGCTACTCACACTTCAATTAAACGACTGTGTTCTAGGAGTCCAAATTATGTATTGGAATGAAGTAAATCTAATACTTGAGCATGTTTTTCCAAAAGATAAAATGTTAGCAGCCACACTCATTTGGCCAGATTTTGTTCACCTGAAATATTTTTTCTTATTTTAAATCTGATATAGTTGAAGTAATCAAATTAACTGACCAGATTATTTGGTGACATCTGTGGATTCTTTTGTAGCTGCAAAGCTCTTTCAATGACTGAGTTAATGTAAACACTGAATTAAATTTTTTAAATTGTTAATAATTCTAATTATTCTGCTGATTCTACCTTTTTTTTCCTCCGTACTGCAGGACTCATCACTGCTTCTCCAGTCTACTCACAATGTGACTGTGAATGCTCGCAATTCAAATGGGGAAGTCACAGGCAGATTAAATGTGGGTAAGTCTAAGTGATCTTTCCTTGTTTACTGTTTTAGAAACGTTGTAGTGAGTGTTTGCAAGGAGCTTCAAGGGTATGAAGCACTAAACATTATTTTTACTGCCATGGCCATATTTGAATAATCTAGCTGCCACTCAATAAGTATCAACAGTATATTTTCAATTTCTCAGTTAAACATGAATTCCATAAATATATAAAGCCGTCTTCATTGCAGAGTTGTGCGAGAAAGGTCACTGCGGAAGTTACTCTTTTTCTTATGTTGAACCTTTTGATAGTTGCAAATCTTTTTTGGAGAAAATGCGATGGGAGAATATGGCTAGAGAGGTCTGTATGTCCCTCTTAATTTTCTGGTATTCCAAAGTCTAATACATTTAAGCAGACATTAAAAAAAATACCATTTCACAACTTGGAAACTTACATGTTTTACTATATTTGGTAGCAGTAAGATATATTGGTTTACTAAGTGAAATCAATAGATCTGGACAGATACAGGTGATAGATCTTGGCAGCAAGAATAAACAAACCTTACTATATATCATATTTTTAAGGCAAGAATGTCAGCAATATGTGTCAGATAAAACGGAATTTTTCTTTGTTTTGCTAATATTTTTCAACCTTTGTTTGACTTTGGAGAAAAATGTATTAATTAACTTTTTTCTTCTTAGATCCTCATGCAGCAAAGCACAAATTCTGACTTATTTAACTGTAAGACTAACCTTATGTAGTTTACTAGATTGGGACCCAGATGAGCATTGATTAGCAACTAATAAGATTGTTTAACTTCTGTGACAATTCATGTTTGAAGAACTATCATATAAATTAAATTAATGTATTGCACACTTCACTGTTTTTAGACAAACTTCAAGTGAAATATATGATTTAAAATTTATAAAGGAGCCTGCTATTGCCCTTAAAAATGTATAATTATACGATTAAACACAATTTGGCCTTTAAAAGTTTTTAAATTCCTTTTTTAAGTTATTAATAAAGATCTGAATTATTGTTCTTAAGAAAATGCCCCTAAATATTTGTTAAAACATGATAGTAGCATTCATATCTCATTGTGATAGTGATTAAAGGAATGAAATGTACAGTTTCATATTATTAGTAAAGTTATTAAATTAGCAAATTAACTATACAGTGACCACATGACCAAATACCAAACACATCACATGGTCAAAATTTCTGTGACATGGCACATATGCTCTCAATTCTGCCTGCTCCACACTGTTTGTTGATGCCCATCACAGGACCAGAGGTGTATCTGTACTGTGGTCGGGTGCCTGTCCTGCCTGATGAGAAGTTTTCAGGAGGTCCTTTGGGAAGGGCAGACTACAGAGCAGATCACTGACCCCCATGCTAATTTGTCCAACTTCATCCTTGCCAAAGTCTCAGAAACTTACACGTAAAATCATGTCAGACAGTAGCCCAAAGGTCTGATGAATTGTCATGAAGGCTGTGTCCAACTGGCATGAGCTAGAACTGCTGGTAGGAAATGTGGGCTCTAGAGACGTTGATGAGTATTTCATCCTGCGTTGAGTTTAGGCACCTGTCAAATGAGTGACCTCATCATTAGTAGGTCTTTTTGTATTAAAGTGACAAAAGCTGATCTGTTTTCTGCTGAACTTAATTCTGTAATCATATTTTAATATCCTCATGATGTGCTTAGGGGACGTCGTCCCTGTGGAAATAAGGCAACTCCATCTTTCAGGCTGGAAACCTGACATGCCTTTGGCAGGTGGAAGGTACATTGCTTCTCAGACAATTAAGAAACTTCCTTGGGAAGAAAATGTCAGCACTGAATTGCAATACAGATTAATTACAGTCTGACATATTCACCCACAGTGAATAGAAGTAGTGTAAAGGATGTATTTTACTGAAAGGAAAGATGTCATTCTATGATTCTATGTTTCAGTTGTCGTGCCAGCCAGCGGGTATAGATCTTACCTTAGGGAAGTGAAGCCTGGCAAAAATAACAACAAATCTCAGACCATCTTTTTTTTCCTTCCCAGCCACCACTTAGTCTTCTTCTGAGAGTGTTAACAAAGAGCAGTACAGAAAGTAAGATGGAATGTGCTGCCTTAAATAAATGGAAACTTTAAAATACGTGCTCTATAGGGCTAGATTGAAGAAAACTTGAAAACTGAAGACTCAGTAGATACGGGTCAATACAAACCTATGTTACAAAACGTGGATTGTGGTGTTTACTGGGGAGAGTTCTGTTGGATGGGAGCTCTCATCAGTAGTGACTCATTTTTAGCAAGTGCCACCCATAAATAGTAATTTTCCCTTCTTTTTGGTGGTTCAGTTCTGTTTCTCCACTCTTCATCACCTGGCTTTTCTGATTCTATTCCCAGTAATGTGCAGTTCAGTGGTTTTTGTACCTTATGATCTCAAGCCTCTTTAACCTTTCCTAAAGGAAAGCCAAATAGTGTTGTCCAAAGGAAAAACTGTCTGATTGAGTGGTTTTATCTGGCTTGGGCAATATATGACAAACCCAGTAGGAAGGTGTAGAATGTACAATGAAAGACCTGCATCTCAAATCTTTTAAAGGTGTTCAGTGTGTAAAGGCAATTCAAATCCAATACCGAAGTAGGGAAGTTCTGATAGCACTCTGGCTTGCACTACAAGAAATACTTAGGTAAGAGGATTAAATAATGCTTTGAGACTCAGAAAATCAAAACTACCTCAAAAGGAAGTGCTAAAGTACATTTACATATTATTTGAAATATTTGGTGTTTAAATAATCTCTTCTTGACTGACAATTCTATTTCTTGAATTCATTAGTAATTGTTCTTATGTGCTATCTAGTGTAGCTGGTACCATTGTAAAAACTAACATGAGATATTATTAGTATTAAATCATACTAATTTTAGAATGATAAAAAAGTGTTGAAAGAGCAGTAAGACTGTAAAGAACTCTGTTAATACCTACAGAGATGGTCTAACAACAGCAACTGGGCTAAGTGACAGTCCATTGAAGCAAATGACCATCTGTACACAGCTTGATATTTTTAGCCGTTGTCCCTACCCAGTCATAAAATGCATGCATGTAAGATAATGTTCCCTTACACGAAGTGTGAAAAATAAGTGTGTGGCTACTTAAAATGCACAAGCCTTTGCTAAAGAATTAATGCTTTCCACAGTTGCCAGCATGCTGGAATTATGTCTTAACGCTTTATTCATCTTACAAATATAAGTAGTTGCCATTGTGAAGGGGCTATATAAGTAAGTTTGGGATCATTCCAAAGATGACAATATAATATAGTATCATTCATAAGATCATAACTTACAGAGGACTGTGCTTCAAATGATCTGTTAGAATATTTTAATAAGTTACTAAGAGTGATTTAAATATCCAGTCTTGAATAGAAGTGATTCATAAGAGATGTGAAATAAATCTTTACTTGAGGAGTTTCTATGAAATTCCTCACATCAGGATAACAAGCACATGTCATGCAAGAATGAAAAATGTTTCCCTCATGAATCACAGATATAGTAAACCGACATCAATTGCACTCTTGTTTTAAAGTTTTGCTCTTGTTTTAAAGTTTCTACATGCTCCTCAGTTTAGCTGCATGAGCTACCTCTTGCAGGAGTTATCTGGACATTGTAACTGGTAAAGAATATAAATGCTGTAGATCTTGTTGTGTTTTGGGTTAGGTTTGGTAATTATGCTGCTGTCAGAAGCCTCACTAGATGCAATTACATTTAACTGCCTGCCAGGGAAAGAATACTTTCAAAATATGGATCATAGCTAAAAAAACCATTCAATTCTGTGTGCTTTTTACTTTTTTTTTTTTTACTTCATTATCCCTCTGTATGACAAAGATACCTGATACATATTTCAGTTAGCCTTTAAAATCATTTAAAATTCATATGTGACCAAAGAAACTCATTAAAACTAAGCAAATATTTTTTAAAAAAACAACACCAAACAACACAGTTTAAAGCTAAAAACAAAATTATATGTTTAGTTAAGGGACTATGGAGATGTGATTGCTTTGGGACCATTTCTGGGAGAAATGGGACTTAATAAAGGGTGTTGGCCAGCAGATAGCAGGGAAGGAATCTAAGCAAGGCACAGATGTGGGAAGGTACAGGACTGAGAGTAAGGAGGAACTAAGAAAGGCATGGAGAGAGATGCTTGTAGGCAAGGGAAGGATGTCTACAGAACAGATGGTACCTATTTTCATTAGAATAGCTCCTAGCTTTAAAATCATGAATAAGAATCAGATGTCATTATCACAGCTCGCACATCAACCTTCAAAACTGAAATATCTAGAACTTGCTTTCATAATCCAAGAAAGCAGTTTAAGAAAGCTGCTAACCATCATCTCCAAGCTTCCTGTTCTTACCACTTCAAAGTCTTGTTCAACCCTTGAATAAAAAATAAATGTAGCACCTTTGATTTATACTCTGAGCCATAACAAAGCAACTTAGTGTAAAAGTCATCAAACTTTTTCAGTAATGAATGATAACAAATATATAAGTTATATAGTCAATTAACAAATACTTGTAACATTGGTATCAAACAATAAATTATGCTTCCCCTAAGTAAACATACACTTACATATATAGCCTGGTACTCAACTGCTGAACATTAAGAAATTGAATGAAAAGCAGCATGTTTCCAACTATCTTTATGATAAGTAGGGCCAGGTGTTTTTAAGATCTATTTTTCAAGGATCATGTAAAGAGGCTTCAACCTACAGAAGACCCTAAGGTCTGCTTGTAATATATCTTTTTAGGAGGGGAAAAAAAAAAAGCAAAAAAACCCCAGCACAACAAACAAGGAAGGAGGCTTCCAAAGTCCTGCAAGGCCAGTGAGAAAAGGTCCCAGTCCAGTGGACTGCTGGTCCTCCTCCTAGTTCAATCATTTACACCAAGGAACAGTAATATCAGTGGCTTCAGGTCAGGGGTTCAGTTTAAAGTATTTAAAGCTAGAGGGAATGTATTTAGATAGCTGTATTATTAAGCTCCACTTCACTTTGAAAAATG